GGGTGCCTTAAGCGGGGGGGGGGGGGTTGGGGGGGGCTAAGGGGTACTCACACAATGTGGGGCAGGTCTGGGGGCTCAGGAGGGGGTTCAGGGGTGGGGAGGGGGCTCAGGGGGCTCGGTACTCACACGATGTGGGCCAGGTCCAGGGGTCTCTCGGGCTGCTCGGGGAACAGCGGCCGGGGCGGGTCCCTGCTGGGCACACAGCCCAGGGACTTGCTGATGGCGTGGCTCAGCTTCTTGGCAGGGGATTTCTGGGGGGAAACACACGTGAGTCTGGGGGCTGCTGGGGGGAAACACACGTGAGTCTGGGGGCTGCTGGGGGGAAACACACGTGAGTCTGGGGGCTGCTGGGGGGAAACACACGTGAGTCTGGGGGCTGCTGGGGGGAAACACACGTGAGTCTGGGGGCTGCTGGGGGGAAACACACGTGAGTCTGGGGGCTGCTGGGGGGAAACACACGTGAGTCTGGGGGCTGCTGGGGGGAAACACACGTGAGTCTGGGGGCTGCTGGGGGGAAACACACGTGAGTCTGGGGGCTGCTGGGGGGAAACACACGTGAGTCTGGGGGCTGCTGGGGGGAAACACACGTGAGTCTGGGGGCTGCTGGGGGGAAACACACGTGAGTCTGGGGGCTGCTGGGGGGAAACACACGTGAGTCTGGGGGCTGCTGGGGGGAAACACACGTGAGTCTGGGGGCTGCTGGGGGGAAACACACGTGAGTCTGGGGGCTGCTGGGGGGAAACACACGTGAGTCTGGGGGCTGCTGGGGGGAAACACACGTGAGTCTGGGGGCTGCTGGGGGGAAACACACGTGAGTCTGGGGGCTGCTGGGGGGAAACACACGTGAGTCTGGGGGCTGCTGGGGGGAAACACACGTGAGTCTGGGGGCTGCTGGGGGGAAACACACGTGAGTCTGGGGGCTGCTGGGGGGAAACACACGTGAGTCTGGGGGCTGCTGGGGGGAAACACACGTGAGTCTGGGGGCTGCTGGGGGGAAACACACGTGAGTCTGGGGGCTGCTGGGGGGAAACACACGTGAGTCTGGGGGCTGCTGGGGGGAAACACACGTGAGTCTGGGGGCTGCTGGGGGGAAACACACGTGAGTCTGGGGGCTGCTGGGGGGAAACACACGTGAGTCTGGGGGCTGCTGGGGGGAAACACACGTGAGTCTGGGGGCTGCTGGGGGGAAACACACGTGAGTCTGGGGGCTGCTGGGGGGAAACACACGTGAGTCTGGGGGCTGCTGGGGGGAAACACACGTGAGTCTGGGGGCTGCTGGGGGGAAACACACGTGAGTCTGGGGGCTGCTGGGGGGAAACACACGTGAGTCTGGGGGCTGCTGGGGGGAAACACACGTGAGTCTGGGGGCTGCTGGGGGGAAACACACGTGAGTCTGGGGGCTGCTGGGGGGAAACACACGTGAGTCTGGGGGCTGCTGGGGGGAAACACACGTGAGTCTGGGGGCTGCTGGGGGGAAACACACGTGAGTCTGGGGGCTGCTGGGGGGAAACACACGTGAGTCTGGGGGCTGCTGGGGGGAAACACACGTGAGTCTGGGGGCTGCTGGGGGGAAACACACGTGAGTCTGGGGGCTGCTGGGGGGAAACACACGTGAGTCTGGGGGCTGCTGGGGGGAAACACACGTGAGTCTGGGGGCTGCTGGGGGGGAAACACACAGGTGAGTCTGGGGGTTTTTTGGGGGACAAGCTCAGGTGAGTCTGGGGGTTTTTTGGGGGGACAAGCACAGGTGAGCCCTGAAGGAAGGGCAGGGGCTGTGAGCTTTTAGAGGAGCAAGCATTTGGTTACAGTTTCGGAGTTACAAGGCAGTATGTAACTCCCTAAACTAACAGATGCCACAGGATTTATTTTGCTTTTTTAACCTATCACTTTTACTTCTGCTGCAGTAGGGACACTTTCATCCAATGGGCTGCTAACTCACAGGCACACATGCTTTTATTGTGCTTTCTAAACTCAGTTTATTCCATGCAGCCTCACCTTTTCACTAAAAACCCTTCTCTCTTTCACCCAACACAGTTTCTCTCTTACTTAAGGGATATTCTTGCTTACAACTCCAGAAACACACGGTTGTGGCTTTTCTGCTAAACGTCTGTGGGTTGCATTTTTACATTTAATTTACATTTTTACATTAACCTAAGTGTCCTCTAAGGCTGCAGATGAAACTCTTCAGTGTCTGTAGAAGTTTTTCTGATTCTCACACTAAATGGCCTCACAGCATCAGTGACCCCGGGTCCTTGGCAGTGCTGGAATGACCAAATTCCTGGAACAGGAATGACCAAAAAATGGGGATTAAATCCCATGCTGACAGAGGTGGGGCGGGGTTTTTTTGGGGAACAAGCACAGGTGAGTCTGGGGGTTTTTGGGGAACAAGCACAGGTGAGCCCTGGAAGGAAGGGCAGGGGCTGTGAGCTTTTAGAGGAGCAAGCATTTGGTTACAGTTTAGGAGTTACAAGGCAATATGTAACTCCCTAAACTAACAGATGCCACAGGATTTATTTTGCTTTTTTAACCTATCACTTTTACTTCTGCTGCAGTATGGACACTTTCATCCAATGGGCTGCTAACTCACAGGCACACATGCTTTTATTGTGCTTTCTAAACTCAGTTTATTCCATGCAGCCTCACCTTTTCACTAAAAACCCTTCTCTCTTTCACCCAACACAGTTTCTCTCTTACTTAAGGGATATTCCTGCTTACAACTCCAGAAACACACGGTTATGGCTTTTCTGCTAAACGTCTGTGGGTTGCATTTTTACATTTAATTTACATTTTTACATTAACCTAAGTGTCCTCTAAGGCTGCAGATGAAACTCTTCAGTGTCTGTAGAAGTTTTTCTGATTCTCACACTAAATGGCCTCACAGCATCAGTGACCCCGGGTCCTTGGCAGTGCTGGAATGACCAAATTCCTGGAACAGGAATGACCAAAAAATGGGGATTAAATCCCATGCTGACTGACAGAATTAATTCTGAAAATGCTGCTGTGCTCACCGAGCTCCCAGCAGTGACATGGAACCCTGGGGATGGTCTTTTCCAACCCTGATAATTCCATAATTCCAGGGACACGGCAGCTCAGCCACCACCTGGCAGCTGCTGCCCCTCACTGACACCCCAGCAAAGGGCAGCCCTGGCTAATTACTGCTGTGCAATTAATTACTGCTGCTGTCCAGCACTCCAGGGTGCAGCTGGGACCAGCTCCCAAGGGGCATCCAAATGAAAATCCAGATTACCACTGGCAATTACTGATAATTAGCAGCAGTTACTACCATGGAGTCAATTCCTGCTGATGTCCAGCCTGCCCTGGACATTCCTCATTCCTTCCAGGTCCTGGAATTTTTATTTATCAGCCCACAGCTCCGTCCTGGGGAGCTGAGGATTGTGTGAAGGCCCTGGAGAGCCTCTGGATCCCAGGGAATGGGAACTTGGTCACCCCAAAATCAGCAAATCCTGGAAGGGTTTGTGTTGGGAGGGACCTTTAAAGCTCAACTCATTCCACCCCTCTGCTTTAATTCCTCTGAAATCCAATGGAAATCACAATTTGATTTTGTGTCACTTACTGACCCCACGGAGAATTTAAATTATGCACACAGATGTGATTACTCCAAACTTACAACCCTCGTTTTCCTCAACTAATCCTTCCCCTGCTGAAAATGAAAATGGAAAAATAAATGACATTTATTTCTCTCTGAATTTGTTCATCTGGGGGGCTGGGGACAAGGGATGCTCTTTTGTTCTCTTCTTTTCTACCTGATGGTTCAGGCGGGACTTTTTGGCTTCTATTCAATTAGATGTTCTCTAGTTTTTGGTGAAGTCCCTGAGGTCCTGTGAGGTGGCTTTTCACCTAATCCTTGAGAGAAACTTCTGGGCTTCTTTCCTTTTTTGGGGACAAAGGCTAGCTGTGCCACTGTGTCATTAGGGAGCACACCTACAGGCTCTGAGGTCCCTCCCAACTCCAACCACATCATTAAACACTAATTAACAATCAGGAACACCTCTGGAGCTGAGCTTCCCCCTCCAGGATGTTCAGCCAGAGCAGCTCCTTGCCCTCCCCTGCCTGTCCCAGTGCCAGGCTCCTCCTCTGCATTGTCCCCAGCACTTTGGGACAGCCCTGTGTCACCCTGCCCCAGGCCAGGCTCAGGGTGGGCACTGGGAACAATTCCCACCTGGAAAGGGCTGTCCATGCCTGCACAGGGTGGATATGGGGAACAATTCCCACCTGGAAAGGGCTGTCCATGCCTGCACAGGGTGGATATTGGGAACAATTCCCACCTGGAAAGGGCTGTCCATGCCTGGCACAGGGTGGATATTGGGAACAATTCCCACCTGGAAAGGGCTGTCCATCCCAGAGTGGATTCCCCATCCCTGGAGGGTTTCAAAGCCCTGTGGCTGTGGCACTTGGGGACAGGGGTCAGTGTGGCCTGGGCAGTGCTGGGGGTGCTTGGACTCAATGGTCTCACAGGGCTTTTCCAACCCAAGTGAATCCAGGATTCCATGATTTTATAAATGTTACAAAAACCACAGAATCAGCTTTCTGAGATTCCTTCTTCAGCAAACTCACAGCCTTTTCCACATCCACACCCACCAGTGAAGTACACTTGCCTTTTGCTCACATCTATCAAACAATACTCAAATAAATTCCTGCTTCTCTCTCTTCCTGCATGGAATAATAAAACCCTTGGCAAAGATTTGCCTCTAGTTATTGTAAGGGTTTAGGGAACCAAGAATTCTCCTAAATCCTTCCAGGGATGGGCACTCCAAACCTCCCTGGGCACACCTGGGCTGGTGTCCAGGGGCTGGCACAGCACCCCCAGGACCTTTCCCAGCTGGTTTGGGTGTTTGGGGATGCCCTGGCAGCCGCTCCCATGCCCATTCCCGTTCCCATGCCCATTCCCGTTGGCATTCCCAGGCTGTGTGTGCCCTAGCAGTTTGGGGATGCCCTGGCAGCCATTCCCATGCCCATTCCTATTCCCGTTCCCGTTGCCATCCCCGTTCCCCCATTCCCTTCCCAGCTCCCTCAGCCCCTCCTGGGGCTCCATTCCCTTCCCAGCTCCGTTCCCTGCCCTGGACACGCTCCAGCCCCTCCAGGTCTCTCCTGGCAGGAGGGGCCCAGAGCTGCCCCCAGCACTGGAGGTGCCCCAGCAGTGCCAGCACAGGGGACGGGCACTGCCCTGGCCCTGCTGCCACCCCAGAGCTGGCACAGCCCAGGGGCCAGTGGCACACCTGGGCACACCTGG